TTATTGCATGATAGTGGTGGTAATAAGAAACGTTTTCTAATATTTGCGACAAGAGAACATTTACATTGTTTAGCAAATTGTAAAAACTGGTTTTGTGATGGCACCTTTTCGTCAGTACCAACCATGATTCAACAACTACAGGTTGTAGCAATCGTACAAAAACAACATTTACCGTTGGTATGAACTCCTTGTGTCATCAACATCTTCTTTATCTATTCATATTCGTATGTATATGTATACCCTGCATACCAAGATTTCATAGAATTCTGAAAGGTTTCACAATTTTTTTAAGAATTTTCTTTAAGAAATCATACAGAAATTTTTTTACTAGTTCTTGTCAACCGCTTCATATTGCGTTCTTTACAGATTTCTAAAAGAATCGTAACAAATTTCCGACACTCTTAAAGATTTGGGGAGCATTTGTTTGCAGGGTATATATATACGTATATGTGTATGTATACGCGGCTATGTAAATAAAGCAAAACAGACGATAATTTGACACAAGCGTGCTCATAAGAAGAAGCACAGCTTCTATCCCTATCACCTGTAATTGATGCGCCTTGGTACCGTCTATTTTCAGCCAGCTATATACTATACATGGTATGATCGACCACAAAGTTTTGCCATTAGTTTATATATTGGCCCCAAAGAAGACCAAGAAGCTATACGTCAAAATCCTGCAGAAATTGAAAGAGCAAAAGCCAGAACTAAATCCGGATGTAGTTGTCACTGATTTTGAATTGGGTTTTGTAAATGCAGTTGAGGGCCAGTTTCCAGACATATCAGTGCAAGGTTGTTACTTTCATTTTACTCAGTGTCTCATAAGCTGCTTACAGACTTGTGGACTGAAGAAACGTTATGGCGAAGATGAAAAATTTGCCTTACACATCAAGATGTTAATGGCTCTGGCTTACGTATATCACGAGGATGTAGTGAAGGTGTATCAGGAGCTAGTTGCAAGTAGCTATTATCGTAAACATTCAGCAGATCTTTCTACAGTCCTTATTTATATGACAGAAAACTGGATCGGTTATGAACACCGAGGAACTTGGCGTCAACCTCGTTTCCCAATTTATCTTTGGAATGTTTACTCAGCAGTACTGAATCAATTGGCACGAACCAATAATGCAGAAGAGGGCTGGCATAATGCTTTCAATAGGCGTGTGTCAGCCGCTCATGCCTCTATTGGGAAATTCATTGTAGCACTACAGGCAGAACAACAACTGACCCAAGTAATGTTGGATCAGCATATGGCTGGAAGATCGATTGCATCGAAGAAGCGTAAAACTTATCGAGATCTAGATACTAGACTAGAAAATGTAGTGGCAAGGTATGAATCTGAGGGTAACTAATGCAGTATTTGAAAGCTGTTGCATATAATCTTTCTTCATAAATATATGTTGTTTAGCGTAATAGATGAATTAAAATCAATGTTATAAAATAAAGTGCAAAGCATATTATTGCGTGTTATTATTCAACTGAGTTATATATATATATGTGTATGATATTTACGAGTGTGCGAACGCCTTTCTGCGTAGGCGGCCTTGGGCCGCGTTTAGGGATTATCACCCTCACAAAGTATAATTCTCTTTCTGTTTTGCGAAGAAAAGGGGCTGAACATCTTTTGCAGAGAACACCTTTCTGCGTAGGCGGCCTTGGGCCGCGTTTAGGGATTATCACCCTCACAAAGTATAATTCTCTTTCTGTTTTGCGAAGACAAGGGGCTGAACACCTTTTGCAGAGAACACCTTTCTGCGTAGGCGGCCTTCGGCCACAATTAGGGATTATAACCTCACAAAGTAGAATTATCTTTCTGCTTTGCGAAGACAAGGGACTGAACACCTTTTGCAGAGAACACCTTCCCGCGTAGGCGGCCTTCGGCCGCAATTAGGGATTATAACCCTCACAAAGTAGAATTCTCTTTCTGTTTTGCGAAGACAAGGGGCTGAACACCTTTTGCAGAGAACACCTTCCCGCGTAGGCGGCCTTCGGCCGCAATTAGGGATTATAACCCTCACAAAGTAGAATTCTCTTTCTGTTTTGCGAAGACAAGGGGCTGAACACCTTTTGCAGAGAACACCTCTCGGCGTTATTTTTGTTTATGTTATTTTTGGTTGTGTTATTTTTGTTTGTGTTATTTTTGTTTGTGTTATTTTTGTTTGTGTTATTTTTGTCAGTGTTATTTTTATTTGTGTTATTTTCTAGTGTTATTTTTGTTTGTGTTGTGGTGACGTGTTACCGGTCGTCACTGTCTGTTGTTAACCCGCACAGCGGTCGAGAATTTAGGCACGACTCAATTCTTGCCAGTACTGTGGATAGTTCTTCAAATGTGAGCGGTGTACCATTGCAAATACGTTTCAAATGAAGTTTTAGTGCCTTTACATTTGCTTCCCATAATCCCCTAAAATTTGGCGAATGTGGCGGGTTAAAATGCCACTGGATGCCCTTGTTAGCCAAAAATGGTACGATATCACTTTGAAGTGACTCACGAAATTTTTGTGCTTGTATTTTATGTACCTTGTCAGTACCCATAAAGTTTGTGCCGCAATCGCTATACATATCATGACAAAGACCGCGGCGACCAATAAAATGCACTAAAAATCATAAGTTGACATACCAGAAACGGCTTCGAGACGCACAGCTTTAGTTCCTAAACAAATAAGAATGGCAATGTAGCCTTTGTATGTGGTATGCCCGCGATAACGTGATGCTTTGAGTTCAATGGCTCCTGTGTAATCAACACCCGTAGCCGAAAATGGACGAACGTTTGTTGTAACTCTTGGTTCTGGTAAATCTCCCATTAGCTGTGTCGAACATTGCGGTCTTTGACGGAAACAGACGATGCATTTTTTAATTCTAGCTGCGATTGTTTTGCGAACATGAATTATCCAAAAGCGTTTGCGAAGAAATGCTGAGGTAAGTTGAATTCCCCCATGGAGTGTTGATTGATGAGCAAAATCAATTAGTAGCTGCGTAAAACGATGATTTTTCGGTATAATGATCGGATGCTTTTCACGGTAAGGAATTTTCGCGTGCTGTAAACGACCTCGCACCCGAATAATCTTGTTATCGTCTAGAAACGGAGTTAAGCTGATAAGATCACTTTTACTTGACACTNGTTTGTGTTATTTTTGTTTGTGTTATTTTTGTTTGTGTTATTTTTGTCAGTGTTATTTTTATTTGTGTTATTTTCTAGTGTTATTTTTGTTTGTGTTGTGGTGACGTGTTACCGGTCGTCACTGTCTGTTGTTAACCCGCACAGCGGTCGAGAATTTAGGCACGACTCAATTCTTGCCAGTACTGTGGATAGTTCTTCAAATGTGAGCGGTGTACCATTGCAAATACGTTTCAAATGAAGTTTTAGTGCCTTTACATTTGCTTCCCATAATCCCCTAAAATTTGGCGAATGTGGCGGGTTAAAATGCCACTGGATGCCCTTGTTAGCCAAAAATGGTACGATATCACTTTGAAGTGACTCACGAAATTTTTGTGCTTGTATTTTATGTACCTTGTCAGTACCCATAAAGTTTGTGCCGCAATCGCTATACATATCATGACAAAGACCGCGGCGACCAATAAAATGCACTAAAAATCATAAGTTGACATACCAGAAACGGCTTCGAGACGCACAGCTTTAGTTCCTAAACAAATAAGAATGGCAATGTAGCCTTTGTATGTGGTATGCCCGCGATAACGTGATGCTTTGAGTTCAATGGCTCCTGTGTAATCAACACCCGTAGCCGAAAATGGACGAACGTTTGTTGTAACTCTTGGTTCTGGTAAATCTCCCATTAGCTGTGTCGAACATTGCGGTCTTTGACGGAAACAGACGATGCATTTTTTAATTCTAGCTGCGATTGTTTTGCGAACATGAATTATCCAAAAGCGTTTGCGAAGAAATGCTGAGGTAAGTTGAATTCCCCCATGGAGTGTTGATTGATGAGCAAAATCAATTAGTAGCTGCGTAAAACGATGATTTTTCGGTATAATGATCGGATGCTTTTCACGGTAAGGAATTTTCGCGTGCTGTAAACGACCTCGCACCCGAATAATCTTGTTATCGTCTAGAAACGGAGTTAAGCTGATAAGATCACTTTTACTTGACACTATTTCGTGTCTTGAAAGCGCCTTAAGCTCGGCGTAAAAACATTGTTTCTGAATAATCCGAACTAAACAAATGAGACTGTCGTGTAACTCGGCAGCTGTTAGTGAACCTAATCGACGATTTTTTTTGGGAATTTGTAAGATTGTGCTTAACTCGCCTTAATATTGCAGTGATGCGTACCAAACGAGTATAAGACGAGTATCGATCGAACAAAGGCAGCAACGTTGACTAATTGTTCGAGGTTTTCTTCCTCTACAAAGGTCCAATCCGAAACAGGCCATTTGTCTTTAGATTTGCACAACCAAGTCGGGCCATGCCAATACAAATCGCAATCTATAAGTTGAGCTGGTGTTAAACCTCTTGATGAGTAATCAGCAGGGTTTTCATGTGTCGAAACGTGATGCCATTGCTTGAAGTGTGATTCGGTATGAATGAGTCCAATACGATTAGCGACGAAAACAGGCCAGCGATTGATATCACCTCTTATCCAGGACAAAACCATTGTAGCATCCGTCCAATAATAGACCTTTATTTGGTTTCCGGGGATATTTATGTGTTTTAGTACCCATTTGACCAGTTTGATGTTTAACACTGCTGCACAGAGTTCGATACGAGGAATGCATATTGGTGGTTTTGGTGTTACCTTGCTTTTGCCTGTGATAATGTTAGTATGATAATTATCCTGTTCATCTTTAACGCGAAGATATATGTCGGATGCGTAAGCTTGTGTGGAACCATCACTGAATGCATGAATTTCGACGAATTCGATTGTGGACGGTAAATATTTCAACCAGCGCGGAATTTGAATTTCCTTAATAACTTGTAGATCGAATTCAATTTGTTTCCATTCATTGAGCAAGCCCTCTGCAAGAGGATCGTCCCAATCTAAGTTGAACTACCACAAATGTTTCAGAAATATCTTCACATTGACGATAACGGGATTAATCAAGCCTAAAGGATCAAATAGTCTCGATATTGCCGGAAGCACGGTACGATTTGTAACGGATTTATGGTTGACACTGATATCAAAATTGAGCTTATAACGAAAACTGTCGCTATTTGGCTGCCAACGCATGCCTAATGTTTTCATTGTTTCATCACTGTTTAACTCGAGAGCAGTCGAACTACAATGTTGGTCTGGGGGAATTAATTTGAGTAATTCCGTCGAATTGCTAGCCCACTTGTGAAGTTTCATGCCGGCTGAAGCTAAGGCTGCTTGTGTTTGATTCCGAATTTCAATAGTTTGTTCCACAGTTTCATTTCTTGTGTAAACATCATCGACGTAAGTCTCTCTCATTAACACTGGTTCGGCCAACGGATAACGCTGACGTTCATCGCGCGCTAACCGATGTATAGTTTCGTTTGCCAAGTATGGTGCTGACGCGGTGCCGAATGTTACCGTTGTAAGTTTATATTCTGTAATTTGACCATCTGGGTTGCGCCAAATAATTCGTTGGTATTCAGAATCTTCTTCATGCATATCGATACAACAGAACTTTTTTTCGATGTCCGCAGTGATGACGTAAACATGTAGACGCCAGTTCAATAAAACTGCTAGCAAATCGTTTAGGAGTCGTGGACCAGTGTAAAGAATGTTATTTAATGATTTACCATTGGAAGATTTGGCTGAAGCATCATAAACAACGCGACACTTTGTTGTCAGGCTATCTTCCTTAATCACGTCATGATGAGGCAATGTGCAACATGAATACGATGGTTGATAGTTGTGGAACTGCAAATATTGTTCTTCGGTAGTTGTGACATGCTTAATTTGATTGAGATCGAAATACTCTTTAATTGTTGCATTGTATTGATCTCGGATGTTGGGATTGTTGTTGAATTTACGCTCAAGTGAATAAAAACGATTAAGTGCTGCTTGGCGTGTCTTTCCTAACGCCAAATTAGGATCAAAACGCGTTTTCAATGGCAGACGTACTAAATATTTGCCATTTGGCTTACGAACTGTAGTGTTTTGGTAGTAGTTTTGACACCATATCTCCTCAGGTGTATATTGTTCCTCCATTGGAATACTTTCAAGAGCGTAAAACTGCTTAACAAACGCATCCAAATTTTTCAATGAAATGTGAGAACAATTTGTTATGATGTCTGATGTTTCCGGTTTTGAAATTGATATTGCTTTACCCGATACAATCCAGCCGAAAGCTATTTGTTGTGCAATGGGTTCATCGCTTTGACCCTTTCGTAGACCCTCCATGATTAAATCCGAAAATAGGTCTGATCCGATAAGTAAATCGATAGGTGCTGATCGATAAAATTCGGGATCAGGCAATTCAAGATCACGTAAGTGAGGCCAATCATGATAGTTGATAGTTTTGACTGGTAAATCTTCGGTAACATTTTTAACGATTGAAGCTATCACGTCGAGTTGGAAATTTTCATCGATTCGCGACTGAATTGAAAATTGAGTGATGAATTTTCCCGATGTGCATTGACCATTTGTTAGTTTGATATCAGTTCTGATAGGCCAGCGTCTCAACTTAAGTGTTTGGGCAGCACGCTCGCTAACTAGAGCTCCGGAGGAGCCTTGATCGATGAAGGTACGCAATAAAATGACAGAGCTGTCAGCACACTTAACTTTGACTACCGCTGTGGGTAAAAGTACATTGGTTTTCGAAGTGAACTTGGTTACGTTCGACAGTAATGGGACAATTTTCGAGCGAATGCGATTAGCACTGATGGTACGATTAGTTGATAAGGACGTAGGCGATGTCGCCGCTTCGCGGGCAAATGATGATGAATTGTTTATGGGTGGAGGAAAATGCAATAATGTGTGGTGTCGTTTACCACATTGTTGGCAGTTCCGATTACTTGGGCATGTAGAAATCAAATGTGTAGAACTAAGACAATTGACGCAAAGCTTGTTGTTATCAACGATAGTTTTGCGCTCGAAACAATCCATTGCTAAAAATTTCGGACAACGTCGAATGATGTGCGCTTCTTTACACGCGGTACAATTAATGTGTTTACTGTCGATCGAACTTGTAGTATAGTTCACCCTTGTCTCCCGACGAAAATTAGGTTTAAGGTTTGATTGTGATTTTGAACTCGACCTTTGGTGGACAGAAAAAGCCACTTTTGAGTCACTATAGCTCGATTTTAATTCAATTGCCTCGAGCGTACGATAACGAACTTCTATGAAGTCACAAAATTGTTTAAATGTTGGAATATCCTTTGAATTTCCCAAATCTTGTTCCCAGAAGTGATGTCTTTCACGAGGTAGTCTACTTATAAGAAAATGTACAAAAACTTGATCGCATTCATCAACCTTGATACCTAAATTGCGTAATGCACTGAGGCACGAACGTGATGTGTCGATTAAGTTTTTCAACCTTGTTGAATTCTCCTTGGCCACATTCGGTTGAGATAAAAACAATTGCATACAATGAGTAAACAAAACTCTAGAATTATTGTAACGACCTACCAACGTTTGCCATGTTACGTTGTAATTATTAACAACTTCATAATATCATCATCGAGACCATCAGGCCAAGCTAGGCGAAGATAATTAAATTTCTCGATATTAGAAATTTGAATGTTATTAGGAATTAGACGGAGATAAGCATCATAAAAGGCAGGCCAGTTGGTGTAGCTACCACTAAAGCTTGGCACTGTTAATTTCGGTAATCGAACAGCCGGTGCAATTGTTTCGTTTCTTGCCAGTGTTTGATTATTTGCTGCGCTTGGGTCTGCCATAGAATAATGTCATTGGATATTTGATTTTGAATGCTTCAACGATTTCACTTCGAGCCGATAAATACAATTCCTCGAAATTCCTCAGTATAGTAGGAGTGATCGGTCTCGAGTTCCGACCGAAGTAGTTGAGCGTGATTTTTCTCAAATTTGTGGTAGCAATGCGTCAATGTTTCGATTCTGGTTTCAAAGTATGTAATAGTTTTTCGCGCTTCAGGGTCCTTTTTGAAGTTTTTTAGCGCCGTGTTGACTTGACGATATAAATCCAATTGCAATGTATAGATGTCCAACGGTGAAGTTTCGGAATTCATTTTGCTGTAAACCAAGCACTCAAGACAACAATAAGTACACACTCACCTCGTTTTCTCAAACGTTCGCTGTGATCCGAGTAATTGTGGTGTTGATTTTGTGTCCAAAGCAGAGGTCACTTGAAAGTCAATCTGCGATGTTCTTCGATGATATTGCAGCGCCAACTGTTCTTTATGTGCTGCCTACTGCGATTACGGTAAACGAGCCAACGATGATAATTTGTTGGTCGAAATTTGCGAGACAGAGCAGTGGAATCCAATGTGAAAGCAGCAACAACGGGATCGATTTGCTTTGTGGTGAACGATATCACCTCGACAGAAGAAAAACTAATGATGAGCCGGTGTATTTGCACAGTTATCTATTCGATTTGATGCTCCAAATTGTTCACAGTGACACAGTTTGATGATAATGTTATCCATTAAACATTTGCTAAAATGTCAATTGTGTTATCGTTGTAAATGCAAATTTTGCAGATTAGCCTCACCCGGGGCACCAAATGTTTGTGCGCAGATTCGCAGTATACAAAGGGTGAAGCCGACAACTGTAGTTAGTTTTATTTTTAATTAATATGACTTTATTAACAACGATATTTAGTCTTTACAACAAATAAACTGATATTGTTTTATTGTAGCTGGAACTTGTAAATTATGCTAGTTTGATAAACAAATAAAACTGCTAGGAAATCAATTTTTGTAGTGGAGATGACGACTGTAGAACGGCGACTGACAAAAACTCTTTAGCTCGAACAGGTATTCGTGTATGTACACATATGTATGTACATATATATATAGCGCTGGCGTAAGAGAACGTCATTGCTCCACTATGAGCACGCTATCGCATGATCCATTTTGCTTCTCGTTCGTGGATGTTGCTCCCAGAGTTAGTGATTTAGATAAATAAATTTTGAATTATAAGGTGCGTTCACGCAGCATACATAGTTTAAGAATAACGTGTAGTGAGTAAGCGGTTGTGTGAATAAATTGATTATGAATTGTTAATCGAATTAACGTGTGAAAATTGATTCCAGATGTGGGCGTGTAGACGGACGGACATTGGACGATGGACGGGGTAGAATGAAAGCGTAGGCGACACGCGGCTTATAGTTCGGGGTCGAGGACGATTCTGCCCACTGTCGGCCATGGTAGGGAGGGAAGATGATCGCCGGCCATATAATACCAGTGGCAGCAAGAGCCTTTGAATGGGGTCAAGGTAGGGGTGGGTTAATAATTGAGGGTGGGTATGTGGTGTCCCTATCAAGCAGAAGAGGGGTACGAGTTTTTGTATGGTGTGGTTCCATGCAGCGGTGATCACAGCAACCCACAGCCCGACGAGCTAGCTCGTGCTAAAAGCAAGCGTACCCCGTGGCGAACCAAGCATGTGGGTGGATGCGGCCGCAGAGTTACGTAACAAAGTTCATAACAATTTTCGAATTGTTTAACTGATAAGCTCCATCGCATATCAATGTCGTTAAGTCCATTAATTACGTACTTGACGATTGACTGATCGTCCAATGCACCCTGTCTACCGACTGCCAAAATACGATGATAAAACACCTCCGGAGTTTCGTTTAGCATGCGGCGCATATTATGAGTTTTATATGAATATCTGCCATATTTGTTATGCGGGAAATTTACGTAAAAAGTCATTAACAAACTGTTCCCAGTCTACATACACCGCAGATGCAGAATCTAACCACAATTTGGTACACCCTTTAAGCTTTGTGCTGACTCAAAACAACAACACACGATCTCTCCAACCATAAACCTAGCGAAGCTGCTTGATTCGTCCTATAAATTGAACGGACGACAAGTCTTTAACACTCGGGTCGAATGTTGGCAGAATAGCAATAACGTCTTGTATATTCCCAAACTCAACCCCTACACCACGCTGCCCATTTGCATAAAGTTGTGTTGGTGTCGGTATTGAACTTTGACAAGCATATGTTGGCATTGTTGTATTCGTTTCATTAAACTGCACATGTCGCGGCATCGACAAAACATTCGTGTTGTGGAGTGGCATTGTTGTTTCTACGCTGTACGGACAATACACCGGCGCCCTTGTTGAGCCAAACATATAGCTTGTTACCGCTGGTTCATTGTAGCTGACCGCTTACTGTTCATGTGCACAAGAAAGAGAAAAAACACTCGTCGCTCGAAAATCCCGTGTGTACATTTCCCTTGCATATGATAATGTCGGTGCCGCATTAGAGTAAGAAGGGCTGACTTCCAAAACGTCAATTGCTTTGCATACGTACAAAGTATAATGTCCCATAACGCCGAACTACAAAACGTTGACAATGTATGCTTTTCCAAAACGCATTCGAAAAGTTATCGAAACGCATCGCTAGAGCAATCAGCGCATCAGAAACAAAGTTGATGCTTCGTTTGTTTTTGGTTACCATTGGTGTTTTAAAAATGGAAAATTCAGAAAAATTGTTCATTGCTAAATTGAATATTTAAAATATGCAATGTATAAGGTTGCAATGTGTCGCAACTCTGCATGTACAAACAGTTTGAATACCGCAGTATAAAAGTTTCCAAACATTGTATTGATACGTTTTGGAAGTCAGCCAAGGTTGGCATGTCGTCGCCAACCCTTCCCCTTCTCCAACTGTCGGCGTCAGTTCAAATGTAGGCGCTGTACCGAACATTCTGGTAGCTTGGCATAACGATAGCTTCGCTTCCACATCATACTGCTTTGGCGATGATGCAATGGCTGCTTCAGGACAATGATTACCTTCCACCATTTCCTGCACTTCTCTTGAATTGGTACAATTCACTTCTACACTCGATTCAACGCGTAATTAGTTGATTGTGCATTCTAATTAGCGCAACCGGCGTTCAATACTTACGTTCATAGCACTTTCGAAACTCTCGTTAAATCGTTGCGCGCATAGCCATTAGATAAGCTTTGCCGTGTTACCGGCAGTGGGCAGTTCCAATTCCCGCAAGCGCTGACGCAATTCTGCGAGAGTTAGATCTCTTATCTTCTCTGGTTTGTCCCACTTTCAGAGAATTGTCAAGATATTCCGGATAAGCGGTGTTCATTTATATCAATTTATTCAGTTTTTAAAATGTTAATTATTGTACAGCACAAGATTATATACACTTGCTTGTTTCAACTGTCCGTTTTGTATCTTCGTCAGGTGTCGTGTTGATGCTAAGTAGTTGAGGTTGCAGAGTTGCATTTTCTAGTACTTGGCACATGCATGTATATTATGGTGATTGGCTCGGTTTTTCCAAACCGATTTCCACAGGCTTTTTGGAGATTATTTAGGCGTTTTTTTAATCATGACTTTTTGAATATCGAACATCGGATTTTTCCATCGAACAAATCGATTTTTTTTTATTTTTTTTTTTAATTTTTGACGCCTCAATAAAAAATTTAGAGTTTTTCGAAGTTTTAAAGGCTTTTTCCAGTTTAAGGAAAACCCTAAAGGGTTACTCAATGTCTGGTTAAAACTAATCTGCGGTTAAACATCGTTATCGACGTCTTCAACTCCATGCTAAGTCCTACTACTCAATGCGAAAAAGTAAGAAAAAATGCAATAAAGTATGGAAACTAAGTAAAAGAAAACCGGTCTAACCGGCGTTTTACTTAATTTCTCAATCGGGAAAACGTTTTTTTTTTTCAAATTGCAACTTTTCGAGTAACTCGAAAACCGGTTTTGTAAAAAAGGCGAATAATCGAACACCCTAATGCACATATGAATACACAGAATTCTTAATCTTCTTAAGCGAAAATGAAATTAAATTAATGAAGTGAATTTAATCTTTTAGGCGAAATGATGACCAAATTATCCATTGCTACCTTCTTATTTTCATTAAATCCGGAAGTTTTCTCACTTCTAAATTTTGTCTGTAAATAAAAGTAATGATACAAAAAATATAAAGAATTGAT